AGTAGCACAACAATTTCCTTCACAATAACCCAAAACTACTAACATATCAGTTTGTTCAGCAAAAGTATAAATTGCAATAAAAAACAAAGTAAGCTAAAATTAAATCACAGCTAGCTTGACACAGAACCTTTTAATTATTGTTATGAATTTGTTTCTCTGTTATATGGCACCTCGTACTAGAATGTTCTATTTATCTTAAACTGATTTTATATTATTTAATGTGTAAAAAATGCCAATTTTACTCGAAATCCATAAACGATATCAAAATTTTGTAAGAGACAAAAAATCTTCTAAAATAGTGCTTATTTTTAAAAATATAAATTCTGTCGTCACTAGAAAGAGAACATCCTGTATATGCCCTTATATAAAAAAATATGTGTACCAAATTTGAAGTTTCTAAGAAAAACAGTTTCCAAATTATTTGAAAAAAACTAGGTTATCTGTTCTATATTTAGAAGACTATATCTCAGTAGGCGTGCGCTTTTGTATATAGGTAAGTTAGGCTAAATAGCCTTGTTTTCATCCAAGGAACCTGTGGTCAAGCGTTGTCCATCCTTTTCAGGGACACCCTGTATATAAATCTTGCGTTTGCACCTAATGGATCATTTACGTGGTTTAATATTTTATTGTTTCAAATACATACTTCTCTAAATTGACCATATACTCGTAATCGACGCAGACCAATACTTACCAAATTGCTGATGTTGACTTGTATTGCAACTTGGTCTATACGATACAATAAGAATTTGCAGTTTGTTTTTTTTTGTTAAGTTTAAATTATGTTAAACAACGAAGGTCAATTTTCAAAATATTTAAATCATAGCATCTCTACTTCTAAACATTCCAACACTATGCAGTAAATAAAATATATTGTGCTTATGTTTTATGATGTACATTTACATACGACTGTTAATTTTTTTTTATATTACTTCTCCGAAGGTTGACTTTTGATTTATAAAGTCATATTTAGATAATTTTTTGTAACACATTTAGAGTACAATCAAGGTTAGTCGCATATATTTTTGTAAATATTTTAAATAACAGTACGAGTACACGCTATACTTCAGTATGAGTATAAAAATAGTTTTTATGTAAATACACGCAAGATAAATCCTCCATATCTTTCTAAATCATCTGCCAAAGTATTAATAAACTTGATGAAATTACATTATGAAAATGTACGTTAGGTGCACTAGATATTCTGTATTTTTTAATAACAGAAGATCTTGGCCTTGATCTACAACGTAATAACATAATATGTTGTTGTTGTTTACCATACAAACGTAGTAATTGATTTTTTGTATTTTAAGTGACATATCCATACCATCCCTCTAGTAGATATAAATTTATTTCATTAAATCGATTGCCTTATTTTACTAATACAGCAGTATTATCTGGACAGGAAAAGTAAAGCTATCCTGGATCTCCAAACATATTCAGTATATGCATTTTTACATAAATATGAATTGAAAATAAATTCAAAGATGCAATGAAGTTATCTGAAGATAAATATATATGTTTTAACAGACAATATTATTGTTTAATAAAAAATATATATAGAAATAATGTCGTAATATACATATATGTACTTATTACATCCCGAGAGACAGACAGTTTCTATATTCTGATCGTCCAAATATGTAAGTAGCATTTCAGTTGTATGTAAAAACTACTATACAATGAAGATTTGTTAACAAAATTACTCTTAAATAGATGAAAAGCATATTATAGGATAAGATGCGGTATCTATAGCATACAGAATAGAAGCGAATTATCAAATTATAGCAATACATCTACAATTTTTAATCACAGTGTCAAAATGGTGATAAGAGCACTAAAAAAACCGGAAATATTTTTATTTCCCCAATAGGATGTTAGGTAATGATCACTTGTTTTACATTAATAATAATTATTTGTCTAGATAAATATTATTAACAATAATAAATTTAGTAATATTTACTAGATAATTTAACGAGAAGCAGAAAATGTTGATTTACAAATGATGCAGGAAGATACGTCAGGGATAACATATTACTTCAAATATCTTCCTACGAAATGGAATACAAGGGCAAAAAATGGAAACGCATGAAAAATAGCGTGGATGAAAAAAAGAAAATCAAACCTCAAAATTATGTTCTTATTACTCTATACTAAAATATACTATGTTCTAGCACTAATAGCTCTAATGAATGCGTAGTGGAAAATATATTTTACAAAAAAAAGGTTTTTATCTTATACTTGCTCATAAATTAGTCAATTAGTGCCTGCTATAAAAGAAGTTAATACACTATCAAAACAATAACGCTTATCTCTTTACTTTCAAATAATCAATAGTGA